TCATCTCCCTCATAAGAATGTGTCCAGTCTATGACTCGCCGAGTTGTATGAACAACTCGTCGAGTCCATCTCCAAAGATTGGAAGATTGCCTTGTACTCGCCGAGTTTGCTCAACCAGTCGTCGAGTCCCACGATTCTCAGGTTTATAATCTCGTCCATCTTTGTTGAGTCCTTCTCTGGACTCAACCAGACCCTCAGAACAGCAAGGGTTGGAGAACCACTATCCGACTCGTCGAGTCCCAAGAACAACTCGCCGAGTCCACTAAAGTCCATGTCCATAAACTCGATTTATGTCAAGCTCATCTCATCCAAAGGGTAGATCTGACCTCCTAGGGCCGATATAGCATGTAAAGCCACGAACTTTATGTCCATGCATGGGTCTTTTAGCCCTAAAGGACTACAAATGATGTCTAAAAGATGCATGGGGCTCTTATGGCCATAAAGTTGGCACCTTTATGCCATGAGACCCCTCCAATGACCAAGATCTGAAGTAAATACTCCCTATAACACTTCACAACACGAAAATGGCTTAGAAAGCCCTAAATATACCCAAAATCCAAGCCCTAAAGATGAATAAACACATGGAAGATCAAGGCAGGAGCTTTTTACCTTAAATAAGCTGGAAATTGAACACAATCTCTGGATCTCCAAGCTCCAACTTGAACTCCCAAGCTCCTTTCCCCTTCTCAAGCTTCACAATCCACCAAAATGCACCAAAATGGCCTTAGGATACTCAAACAAGGGTAGGGTTTCGATATGATGTCTTATGGGAGTATAAGGGACAATGGAGGCTGAGATAAGTTGTTTAAATAGGGTGTAAACCCTCAAATTTAGGGTTTCACTCAAACAACACCTACTCGCCGATTCGGTCTCCCGACTCGTCGAGTAGGCCACTTAAACTTCCCGCGAATCACGACTCTACTCGACGAGTTGGGCCGCCAACTCGTCGAGTCCCAGAGGAAATACATGAAATTCTTGAATTTAAATACGTACGAGGAATGGGGTGCTACATTTAACGACTTGACATTCAAGTTTAACAGGAATAAGACATCACCCATGGTTCTAAACTCAAGTCAAACATAGGAGACTAATTTAATTTCACTTACTGCTTGAGATTGGGAGGAAGAAGCAGCGGCTGAAGGAGAAGCGTCGGAGGAAACAAACAAGATATTTCTCTCTTTCACCACTTGGAAATAGATGGAACTTTCCGTATCTTAAATATTTATAAATTAAAACCAGGGGTATAATTGTCAATCTATGTTATTTCTCGTTAAATAAACATTTAATTAAAAAATCTCATACTACTTATGAAAATTTTATTGTCTATTGTTATTTGTAATTAGTATTTTGTTAGATTACCATATATACTTGCGTTTAACTTTATACGTGCAAATATTAATTGATAGAGGTAAAAATCAAATACCTAACATAGGTTATATAGCTAGTAGTGATTTTTGCAAGTATAGAAGTTGCTAATGCGTGAATATCGATGTTGACAATGATTTTGAAAACCACCCCTCAAAATCAGCAGGATGTTCTGAAAACACCCACAATGATAAAAGACAAAATTTCACAATTGGTTCCTGTGGTTTACAGAATATCGCACTTTGAGGACTTCCTAGCAAAAAGTCACGCCACTGGTCATTATGGTTTCAGTTCATTGCGCGATTGGTCCTTGACCCTAACTCCGTCACTTTTGTACCGTTAGTGCAGGGGTATTTTTGTCTTTTCATTTATCATCATTTTCAGATTAAAAAAAAATAATAAAATAAATAGCCAACCCAACCTCTCGGTCCCCTTCCTTTTCCCTACTAGGTTCGTCTCCCTCAATCTGACCCAACCCTCATCCTCTTAATCATAGATTCCGGTGAGGGGTGGCGGTGGTGCTTCGTTATAATCACAGTCTCCGGTGGAACCAGGTGAACATTGTCGATGATCACCACTGAACTCGTTCACCCGTTTCTTCCCGTGCCACCCGTTTCCTCCCCAAAGATATGACGGCCAACTAATGGAAAAAAGCGACGTATACATTTTTGGGGTTGTGATTTTGGAGATTATGTGTGGGAGAAAAGCTCTGGATTTGACTTGTTCAGATTCACATGGTTTCCTGATTACTGATTGGGCATGGTCGCTTAAAGAAGGAAAATTAGGGCACGTTTTGGATCCTTCGTTGTTGGGAGAAGGTAAAAATTCGGAGACTATGAACCCTATAGGGATAATGGAGAGATTTGTGCCTGTGGGAATTTTGTGGTGGCTTTAAGGCCTACGATTATGGATGTATTGAAGATGTTGGAAGGAGATGTTGAAGTGCCGGTGATTCCTGATAGGCCGACGCCTCTTAGCAACCCTACTTTCACTGGAGATGGAAAATATTTTAGTATTTCGCCAGCGTTGAGTGGGCTGCAATTGCAGGCCACCGACATGCTCAGGTAGGTCGATAAACAATAAAGCAAATGTTTAGAATTATAAATTTTATTAGTTTTAAATCATGAATTTGAGAAATTAGGAAGGAGTCGAGCATTAGATATGACAAAAAGGGTTATGTAAAAATGGAAATTGTTTTGTATTTTAGGAGTTTAATTATTTGGGGGGTGTCATGATTGGTTGAAATTTTTGTTGTTTTGGTAGCCATAAATGAAAAGACAAAAATACCCCTGTACTAACGGTACAAAAGTGACGGGGTTAGGGTCAAGGACCAATCATGCAATGAACTGAAACCATAAGGACAGTGGCATGACTTTTTGCTAGGAAGTCCTCAAAGTGCGATATTCTGTAAACCACATGGACCAATTGTGAAATTTTTTCATAATAAAATACCAATAAAATTTTAGAAAATATTTACATCCATTCATCATCATATTCATCATGAGCTACACCAATCAAAGCCAGCCTCCTGACGCCGCTGTCGGACCTCCTCCACCACCACAAGGTTCCGTTTTTTGTTTAGAATTTGTGGGATTTGGATTTCTTTTATCTTTTTTTTTAAGATAAATATAGGAAATAATGATAGATCATTGATATTGTATTATAGGTTATCCGTCGGAAGGACAAAGTAAAGAGATATACCCATCACAAGGATACGTATATCAAGGATATCCGCCACAAGGATACCCACCGCAAGGGTATTCACCTCACGGGTACCCATCCCATGGGTACCCTCCACAAGGGTACCCACAACAAGGATATCCACATCATGGATACCCTCCACAAGGATACTCACAACATGGGTATCCACAACAGTATGCCTTCCATTATGTTCCTCCTCATCAACCCCCGCAAGGCAGCGGTTTCGCGGAAGGCTGGTAATTACTAATTAGTTATATTTCTCTTTCTTAGATCTATTTCAAGAATTTAGAAATGTGAGTTATAAAAATATATTACATCAAAGTAAATGTGAATAATTTTACAAAAAATGATACGACAAGTCTTGCAAATTATGCATGAATTTAGAATGGAGAAACTATGTCTTGATCCTCAATTGACCCAACCAATAAGATTTATGTTTGTGTTAACATTTACTTGTGGTTTCGTTGGTTGTACACTTTTTGTGCCTATTTTTTGTTGAATCGATTGAAAATCGTTTAAAAGGTATTTGAAAGCATATAACTTCTTATAAGTTTGTTTATAAATAAAATTATATTAATTGTACTAATGTATTTTATGTAATCAAATTTATCACAATAATACTTTACTTACCTTATATACATGCTTTGTGAATATAGTATTGTTGTTAATGACGTTATTATTCTTGTGCAGTTTGGCTGCCCTATGTTGTTGTTGTCTTTTGGATGCATGCTTTTGAAAAAGCTCACGAGTTGCGGAATTCTTTACCTTTTGATTTTGTTGTAGGAAATAACTCAGACTTACAAATAAAAACGTGTATTGGTTTTCTTTAAAATGCTCGTTTAGGTCAGTAGATTGTGAGAGATCATTCATTTATCTGGTTTATATTAAAACGATGTTTGCGGAACCCTAGTAGTCTTTTATGATATTGTATGGTTTATCTTATTTTTTGCAACATGAAGGTCAATTGTGAGTAAGGCAGACCCTAATCAAGATTTTACCATGACACACACATGATTAACATGATATAGAATAAAAAATTTTAATTGAAAAAGTACAATCTCATTAGATATTAGAGACATATTACATTATATAATAGTTATTTATGAGTGTTCCATTTTAGAACCATTCATTAGATCTACATTCATAATATTGACAATCCTTATTCATCTACGACACAAATTAGACAGACGTTCATAATATCATCACAAATTAGGCTAGCTTCAACAATCAATAGATGAAAGAAAGCTCAAGATCGTTCATTATTTCCACAATCACTCTAATTAAGTCGGATGCATCATTCAAGTTAGGAAATTTTCGATCTTGCCAATTGAAAATGTAAAGACTTGCATAAAAATATAAAGGCCAAGTCAACATCATGGTTAACCAAGTCTGTCATCATTGACCACAAGTTGACTTTGTGGATAAACACCTAGAAGCTTCTAAAATCCTTTGTAAAATGTGTTGATTTGAGGGAAAGGAGCCGCAGATAGGGTTTTACCTTGTCAAATATATGTTACACGTCGCGAGTCGTGATAGAGTCGTCACCGTCACATCACACATTTTTTCAGTCTCCTATTGTAACACCCGCACATTCGGGCTAGTCAATTTAGAGACAAGAAACATAAAAAATGAGTTATTGATGGAATATTATTTATAAGGATTAAACTTAACCAAGTGGTAGTATATGTTACAAGGTTTCCGTACATATAAAGAACGCCGAAATCCGAGTTATAACAAAGAAGTTATGGCTCGTCGAAGTTTTACGGCAAAACCGGCACGGCACCGGGAGACGTAAATAGTGAATTTACGATAGAGGACTTTTTTGGCCTTAGTGATCTAAACAAAAGTTATATTATACGTTAAACCGAGAGCGTGCATAAAAAGAACGCCCAAATCTGACTTTGTATGAGGAAGTTATGAATTTTCTAAGATTTGGCATAGTAGTGCACGACCCGAAACTCGAATTTTAGATCGACGGTTTTTGGCCTACGCGACCTAAATGAGATTTGAAGATCTCATTAATAGGAAGTCAACGATAAAAAGAAAGACGAAAACAGAGTCCGTATGAAAGAGTTACGAATTTTTCGCGGTCATTTAACAGTATAATCTCCTCCTACTGTTAAATTTAAGATCGGTCCAGAATTAGCCGACGGAGTAAAAATGAAAGTTGTAGATCTTATTTTTACCTACGCGTGGATATAAAGAACGTCAAAACGGATCTCGTATGCGAAAGTTACGGATTTTAGAAGTCGGAAGTGTGTTGTGTGAAAATGGGTGACGTAGCACAATCTTGGCCATGGCTTTCTCCCCAAGTCTTGCCACCAGATGGTGACATGTGGCACCAAGTTCAGCCATATTTCACCCTATAAATAGAACCTCTCCCACCCTCATTTTCTTCACACCTTTCTCATTCTTTATTCTCTCTACACTTTCTCTAAACCTCCCAAAAACTCCCCTAGCGCTAGAAGAAAGCCCCGGAGCGCTCGACGGTTCCGAGAAGAAGAGCTTTCGGCTCGGAAGTTCTGCCCCTGCAGAGCACGGCTTCTAGCCAAACCCCCTC